GTGGAATATTAAAACAAGCAGTTGTTAGGCCTTCATTTACATTTTTTGTGTCCATAGTAACAAATGTTTCATTGGTGGTTTTTGTAGGAAGTTCTTCCCAACTCCAACTAGTATCAGTTTGACGTTTCATTTATATTTTCTTGTTTGTTTTTAATTAGATAATTTAAAGTTTTAATTAATTAATCGACTGGTTCAATTGATAATTATTTGAAATTTTATTTTATTTTAATGAATCAAATAAATTAAAGCGGGCATGATGGATTTATACTAAAATTATTCGCAGATCGTTATTAAACATTTTTTAAATTTTAAATCTAATTATTATTATTGTTATTATGGTTGAATATTTCTTCTAGGTGAGATTTCTATTTGTACTATTTGTTATACAATTCCATTTTTTCAAAAAAATTTTGCCTTTTTTAGTAAACTTGTGTCCCAGTTTGGTAATATTTAAATATGTCATTTTATCACGCAAATCGACCAGAGTTTTCCATTTCAAACAAATAGTTTGATTTATTATTTGATTTATTGAATAATTTGGGAAATCTTAATTTCTCCAAAGAAATGTTTTTGCTCTTTGATTTTATGATTTATTCTATTTTTACTCATTAGCGATATTTATCTGCAATGAAGTTCTAGAAAGTTACAAAGTAGTAATATTCATTTGGATATAATTTCTTTGTTAAAATTTCTTTTTATAGAAATAATTTTATTCAAATTTTTTATATTCGGTTATTTTAAAAAAATGGATCCGCTCCCGATCATCAGCATCAGCATTAACAGCAAATAAACCTACTAGCTCAATACAGTCAATTAGTCAGACCTCATCATATATACCTACAGCTATTGAATAATAATCAAATATCATATTCACAACAATTGGGACAAAGTTCTCAATTACCAAATTACCAATGTCCAGATACACATATATCCAACAAAATCACAACCGCAAAAGTTAGGCAAGCTGATCCGATTCGATATCGTGCGAACAAGCGCTTTTATCGCATGCATTTTTTATCGTAAAGCACGTCATTAAATATTAAATAAATATTAAATAATTGTAAATGTTAAATTCATTCATGCATTCACCATAGACTAATAACATACCACGCACTATTTATAATCAATTCTACAACCATTACTCATACTTTTTCATTATTTAGAACTATGGAAATAGTGTAAGAGTTATATGATTAACGTTTAGTTTTTGCAATAAAAAAATTATTTAAATAAACGTTTTATTATTCAAATTACTAACCAGAATATTAAACAGAATCCGAGGTTTCTATTGGTATTGGTTATGTTTCCTAGCAGTTGTTAGATGATTTATTTTAAATTTATTACTTTCAAAATGAACATATATAATTTACCAAATGCAAAGAAGTCTTCAATAGCTAATTTCCGAATTACTTCATTTATTACTTAATTACCTCGAAAGTATATAAAATAGGAGGTGAGTGGTCTACAACTAAATTAAAAGTCAGATGACAGATCAGTTTGTGTATGGAACATATTTAGTGATTTTAGTCATGAATATTAATATTCGAATATTTATTTCGATCACAATCATGAATATTCTAATATTCATTCCCAGTGTTGAAATTTCGTTGTGTAACTAGTACAAATTTAGAAACTATCTCCAAAAATTAAAAACTTGATTCGTGTGTAATGTTACACCCCGCATTCCCCGCACCGAATTTTCAACACTTCATTTCGATCACAATCATGAATATTCGAATATTCATTTCGATTGAATATTCGGTTACACATATGAATATTACCAAATTAAGAATAACATTTCAAAATTATTATTATGGTCGCCCAATTGTGTTTCGGGAATGTGACTAGCCTCTGGTTTATTATTAAATAATATATTATAATTTTTATTTATAAAAGATTAACGACCGTTTGATTAAAATTTTTTATTAATAAGAGTAAAGTTTCTATTCAAATCATTCGCACTTTTATTCCTTTATTCGAATTACTCGTTTTATTCGTTACTCGTTTTATTCAAATTATTCGCTGCTTTATTCCTTTATTCGAATTACTCGTTTCATTGTCAAATTATTCGTTTTATTCGCTTTATCAAATTATTCGTTGACTCAAATAAAAATTATTATTGTTTAAAAATCGAATCACCTAATTTTTGATTCTTTTCATTCGAATCAAATTCAGATTGAATTGTATTGTACTTTGATTCGATTCGATTCGATTCAATTTGAACTAATTCAAATATATAATATGATTCGAATTGATTCGATCTTATAGCAATCATTATATTCATTAGTGAATTTATTAATGAATTGTGCAACTGTAAATTGTATTACGTTATCATTATTGTTATCAATTAATAATAATAATATTGATAATGGAAACTATCTTACTTAGTGGGCCGAAATTAATTGGCAAAAACTTGGGCGAAACTAATTTCAATAATAGCTAAAATTAGGCGAAATTATTTTTAAGTTTTTTAAAGATTCATTTCATCGACAATCACTTCATCGGCACGCATTTCGTCAACAGTTCATTTCATCGACAGCTATTTTGTTGACAGTACATATGATTTTAGCGTAAAATACACATTGATTATAATTATAAATATAATTTGTTTAGTTGTTGATATGATTAAATAACAATATTAAAATCATTCAACTTTGCCGAAGGCCAGAAATTTTTCTTCAAATAGTAACTTTTATTTGAATAGAGACTTTAAAACAGTAAATAACAAGTAACACTAGTGACGAAGTCACTGTCATAAAGCATTCATCTAGTTCGAATATTATAACTTGTTTATTATTCGAATTGTTATTATCATTCGTTTATCATTCAAATTGTATCATTCGTTTATTATTCAAATTGTTATCATTCTTTATTATTCGAATTGTATCATTCGTTTATTATTCGAATTGTATCATTCGTTTATTATTCGAATTGTATCATTCGTTTATCATTCGAATTGACATCGTCATTCGTTTATCATTCGGATTGACATCATTCGTTTGTTATTCGAATTGTTATCATCATTCGTTTATTATTCGATTTGACATCATTCGTTTATCATTCGAATTGACATCATTCGTTTATTATTCGAATTATTATCATTCGTTTATCATTCGAATTGACATCATTCGTTTATCATTCGAATTGACATCATTCGTTTATCATTCGAATTGACATCATTCGTTTGTCATTCGAATTGATATCATTCGTTTGTCATTCGAATTGACATCATTCGTTTGTCATTCGAATTGACATCATTCGTTTGTCATTCTAATTGATACCATTCGTTTATTATTCGAATTGACATCTTTATTCGTTTATTCTTCGAATTGACATCATTCGTTTATCATTCGAATTGACATTATTCGTTTATCATTCGAATTGACATCATTCGTTTATTATTTGAATTGACATCATTCGTTTATCATTCGAATTGACATCATTCGTTTATTATTCGAATTGACATCATCATTCGTTTATTCAAATATTTGGTTTACTTGAATTATTCAATTTATTTCGTTTATCCATTTTATTATTTGAATTGTCTATTCGAACTATTTGTTTATTTGTTTATTTGCTTTATTTGTTTATTCAAATTATTACTATTCATTTGTTTTATTTAAATTATCAATTGAATTATTTATTTTATTTGTTTATTTGCTTTATTTGAATTATTCGTTTACTTGTCTTATTTGAATTATTGAATTATCAGATTATTAATAATTCATTTTAGGAATATCAAATAAACTTTCAATGTAATTCGAATACTACTCGTTCATAGCAAGTAAAACAAATAATTCAAATAAACCCTTATTCAAATAGAAACTCTAATCAAGCAGTATATGTAGTGATTTTAATTTAGTTTGTCATATTTGGTGAATCCAATAATTCAGATCGCATACTTGCAATATTTATTACAGTTTTATGACTTTATGGTGTCAATGCTGAATTGTTGTAGTTCAGGTAAAATTTTAATTTTTTTTTAGAATAAATTAATTAATATACATATTTGTGGCTGAAAAAAAAAATTATTTTTTACAAAACCACAATGGGAAACACTTTAAATAAAAATAAACATCATGACGATACTTCTACTGACAAAAATGATGAATATTCTGATGAAAGAGTTGAAGAATATGGGGAATGTCCAACATGCAAAAGATATAATACTTGTTATTCATGGTGTCAATCATGTGATCCAAAGTTGTTAACTGAAGGATGGACTAGTGGCAATGAAATGTTAGATGAGTTGATTAAAAGTACACAACTTGAAGCAACTGAGTATGGCAATGATTATCATCTTCAATGGATTCCTTATAATGATTTAACAAATATTGAAAAGATAGGTGAAGGTGGGTTTGCAACTATATACAAAGCTACTTGGTTAAATGGTTATAAAAGTTTATATAGTGGTAATGAAAGAAGTATCACAGATAGGATTGTGGCATTAAAAAAACTACATAATTCACAGAATATTTCTGATGAATTTCTTAATGAGGTAAATTATTTTATTTTTATATTTATTTTCAGATTTTTTAAATATTATTGATTATTATTGTTGTAATTAAATATTTTATTTATTATTAGTTCAAAAATTATATAAAGTTTCATGATAAATTTAATAATATAATTCATATTTATGGATTAACACAAGATCCAATTACAAAAGAATATATTTTTGTAATTGATTATATGAAAGATGGAAGTCTTCAAAATTATTTAATTAAAGATTTTAAAAATTTAAAATGGAAACAGAAAATTAATAATCTTAGGCAAATTATTGAAGGTTTAAAAGATATTCATAAAAAAAAAATTATTCATCATGATTTTCATAGTGGTAATATTCTTCAAAAAGACAAATGGAATTCATATATTGCAGACTTAGGATTATCATGCACATCTAGTCAAACATCATCATCAGACAAAAATGATATATGTGGA